AATAAATGGAATGCTCATTTCTAATGAAGATATACAGTCGACCCCCTATAAGACAGTAGATACGTTCCATTCTTTAGGAATCCGATTTCTTACAAGTCCTTCCAATCACAGCCCGACACGTGTCAAGTTTACGGACTACGGCTGATTGAAAGGTTTTCTTCCATAAAATTAATCGATTCTAGACTAATTCTACTCAACATTTCCAAAATACGTATATATTTTTTTGAAAATAATCCGTATAAACTACGCTATAAACAAAAAATTGTAGGATTACTTACCGAGTGTGCACCATTCGACATCGCCATTGCTAAAGCTTGTTTTCGTCGCGGAACAACTCAGCAAACCGCGGCCGCGATTTCTGATGTTATTTTTCTGCGAAAACTTCGTTGAACTTTGGAGACATCATTAATATAAATAATTTTAATCGCCGTTGAATAAGAAATGTTTCTTTCACAAGAAATGTATAAAATTACAGTACTGTATTAGACTTACGGTACCTAATTTACATACTGTACAGACGCTAGTTCGCCTAAACTCCCCATAGCGTAGCGCTAGACGGCGGAAAATATATATATAATTATAATAAAGTTACAATAAATTAAGTTAATATATAATTATATATACAATATCTAATTTATATATAATACTGTACAGACGATAGTAATCTCTCCGTAGCGTGGCGCTTGACGGCGCGGAAAGTAGTTCGGCTTCCCGATGACGTTTTACGTAATTATAGGAGTTTTTTACCGTTTTTTTACGGATACCGTCGCAATTTTTTCGCTATCTTATAGGAATCGTAATTATAGGAACCCATTTTATAGGGGTCTACTGTATTTCACTTTTAGTACGTCATACTTTCGTACTACTAATCAGCATCATGAATTATCATCATCTCGATTTTAAAATACACGAGAAAAACCTTTATATTCAAAAACTGATAGGTTAGGTTAGGTTAGGTAAGTTTACGTTAGGTTTTTTGTGGTTTTAGGCCCCTTACCGCTCAGAGAGCACAAATAGGCCAGGCTAGGTTAGGTTTTTTTCTGGTTTTAGGCCTCTTGCCGCTCAGAGAGCACAAAGAGGCAGGCTAGGTTAGGTTTTTTTCTGGTTTTAGGCCTCTTACCGCTCAGTGAGCACAAAGAGGCAGGCTAGGTTAAGTTAAGTTAGATTATCTGAAGTATCAGTTTACAATTCAATAGTTTTTTACATTTCTGTTGCTACAATATGGAATGTTTCAATTTTAAATTGCAAACTGATGAAACTTTCAGTCGTTTAGCCTTTATAATTAATTGATCTGAAACTTTAACGTTATTTTGAACACTCCTAAACTCAATTTTCGAAGAAATTAAACAAGAATTAATCAAGATTTTCTCTCGAAAATCATTTGTTTTAAACATTCATTAATCATAATTTGATCAAACATCGGTTACGTTGTAGAATTTTTAAACTGTACTTTTTTTATGTGTACTATATTTAGTCATAATTTGAAAATAAATTATACATTAACACTTGCAAAATGTAGTAAAATTTAACGAATTTGTACGTGTTTTACAGGTTATGTGTGTTGTTTAACAAATTGAAAATATTCCCAATAGCAATGTTTGTAATTACTTCAGAAAATTCTGTTTTACTTTTCGATTATACGTTAAGCTTCATTAACAGTATTACATCATTAAATTAATTGTGAAAAATTAAACAATTATTTGTAAGAAAAAAAAATTTGTTACGTGACCTTGAACTTTTGATTTTTCAACCAGTAGATTGTGAACTACGCACTGGCAATCTACTCATTGAAAAGCTGTCAAATTTATCAGTTATTAAGGTAATAAATTGATTTTATTTGTGTAATATATTCGAAATATATATAAAATTTATTAAAATGTTAAAATTTATTATGCTTTTTTTAAGAATAGTAATAATTATAATAATTTATTCATGTACTCTAAAATTTCGCGATGACTTTGAAAACGAAGGTTGAGAAGTGAAAGTAAATAGCTGATGTAAAAATAATGTAAATAAATAATGAATAAATAAATTACTTAATTATACAGAAATAAAATAAAAGTATTGACTTCTTTCACTCGATGGGCATTAAAAAGGGCTATTTTAAGGCCTATCGTAAGTTCGGCCAGGTCATGGGTCTGTTAAGTTATAGTGAGAACTATCTATCAGAAAGTGTCATCTATTTAAGTGTGTTAAGCATACGATAAACCCAGAAAAATCCACTTATCCAGCACTGTGGTCAGGTGCGAACCCACGACTATCGTGGAATATTTAATGGTTTCATGTACTCGACCACTGGAAGACTGTATAAATGCAGAAAGACCTTTTTTGAAAGTAGTATTAACAGTTCAGAATTATGTGTTTGAGCATGTTTTGTTCAAGTTTGAGCTTGTTTTGTTCGAGTTTGAGCTTGTTTTGTTAGAGTTTGAGCTTGTTTTGATCGTATTTGTGCTTGTTTTTTGTCGTGCTTGTGTGTATTCTTGTGTTTTTGTTTGTGCTTCTGTTTATGTCTGTGTTTATATGTGTTCGCCTGTATTTTGCTTTATATCTCAGGAATCCATGAACCGAAAATCTTAAAATTTGGCAGATATATTTTTTATGTAATTCATCGATGCTAATACATTTTGGCGATTATAAATCAAGGGTTGATAGAGGAGAACGTCATACGTAACTCGAGTGGGTCAGACGCAATAAAATTTAACTCGTTATTATCATTTACAATTATTTGAAAAAAAATTTCACCTTTACCCCTCAAAGAACACTTGTGCCTTATTTTAAACTTTTATAAATTAAATTAATAATTATCGAACTTTCTGCACCCTTTAACTTTCTCTTCCAGCGAAAGTCGTGTAAAAAACTTTACCAGATTTATTCTGTGTTTACAGTACTTTTAATTCTAATTAATTAAAAGTAAATTATAGATATAAAAATTAATTAAAATTATTATTTAACATGAATTATAATCGACTGATCGTAAAACTATTTATAAAAAAAGTGGTATTTTCGTGCTTAAATTAGTAATATTATATAAAAATCATTTCATTTTTCCCCTAGAAAATAATTCAATTTTACAAAGGCAATATTTTGATTCGTGTGATACTTCATTCCAATGGGAAATACTAGGAAATTGTTTACAGATTCTTAAACACCTAAACAGTAATCTAATTAAAACTGTGAGAAACTTAATAATAACTTTTCACAAATTAAAATAAATAATAATAATTTAAAATTGTATTTTATAGTCAATAATATAGGCAAATTTATATAAACTGTTCTAAAATTTGAGATTTAATGTTAATTTCCTGAGGTTTGTCAGGTGTTTTAACTAAAGTTATTTGTTTTAAATATCGATCAGACCGTTTTCTGTGGATAAGCAATCTGATATAAACAAAATTATACGTTGTAGGTGGATGCACTTTAAGTAAATTAATTTTGAAGAATAAAGATATAGTTTATTGAGTTCATTTCGTATATTTTTTGATATAAATTTGATTTTTTTATATACATTAATCTTATATGAAGTAAAAAAATTAAGAAATTTCAACGAAATTAAGTAAGTAACCATTCTAAATTCAATATCTAATCATCCTTTAATCTTTCTTTTATCGATTTTTCCTGAAGATGCCTTCACTTTTAGAACTTTAAATACATTCTCTGTCTTTGCTGAATAACTTTACTAGCTCAAGTATAGGCCTACATAATATCAAGGGATAAAATAAATACTATAAGAGATAATTACTCTGAAGAACTGAATGAAAAAGTCCATGAGTAGCCAGTTTTGATGAAAATTACACAAACGTATTCAGTTTTTTTCACAGATTATGCTCCTTAGAACACGTCACTCACTGCACACAACTATTTCGTGAACTTCTTATTTCACTAATCCATCCTTTAATGTATTATATCAAACTGTAGAAAACTCATACCTCTGTATCTTTTTTGGTCAACTTTACTTGTGAAAGTTTATATAAAGGATATACAAAACGGTGAACAATCAAAACATAAAGTCACCAGAAAATCGAATGTCAAAATGTCAGAGAGACAAAATGAGGAGCAGAAAAATACTGAAGTGTAAAATATGTGAAAAATTACCAAGATAAATGGCATATTTTCCTTTAAAAATCAATATAAAAGTTGCATATGATGACACAAAAGCTCATATATAAAATTTATAGGTATAAAAAGTTTTAGGTGTTTACATAAAGTAAAAATATATATAAATTTTTAGAAAGATAAGCAAGGAATTTATTAATTATTGTTTATACAATAATGTAAATTTAAACAATATTTGTTTTATTTTTATTTTTAAAAATATTGAAAAATAACAGGGTAATTAGATAATAAGGAATATCAGGAAAATAAAAGGAACACCAAGAAAGTATTAAGATGAAGATTGTGGAAAGAGAAAACACGATTGAAGGCTTTGATTTAAGAAGATTCTGGAGCATGAGGAAGATGATGATAAATTCAAAACATTGAAATAAAATGCTATAAAGACTATAAATGATAAATTTAAACTGCTAAAACTAGAATTGAAGCGGTGTATAAATTATTAAAAGTAATAAATAGCCTAAGCTTATAGATATGGCAAGTATAAGAATAAAGAAATAATATATTTATATTTTTAAATTATTCAGAAAATAAATTTGTATGAAATTTATATCGATAAAAGTGGTTTTTATACCCTTCAAAACTATTATTGACGTTGACATATTACTTTTTCATACCGTAGAATATTTTATAAATCAATAAGACTTTTGGAAATAACTTTTCTTATTTTATTTATATAAAATATCTGTAATATCTACATTTGTTTTATATTATAAACATATAAAATTTTTATTAAAAATATTTTTTATTCGTAGATTTTTGCTTCAAAGAACAAGAAAATAGTAGTGATAAAATATTATTATTTTTTTAATTAAATCTAATAAATGAAATTAATAATTCTATAAATTAACTGATGATTGATCTCCAGATTGTTCTGATGAGGGAATTACATCTCGTTCTTTCATCAATTTCTTCATCTCCTTCCTTTATGCAGGATATCATTAACATCTTTCTTTACTCCATCTCCCCTTTTAGAGGTGGCCTTCCTGAAGTTCACTACCCCATTGGGCCACCAGCATCCGAGTGAAAAAAAAGGCCTATATTGATATGGTGTCTGAATATTGTTGACACATTCTGTATGTTGAAACCTGTACCCATGTTAATCAGCAATGGGCGATTTGTCAGGGGATCAGCAAGATTTTAGATCCTTTTATGTTAGTTTACAGTCGGCCCCCCCATAACACTGTTGATTTTTCCGTTTTATATGAATTTCATGTTGTACGAGTCACTTAGATTTTACAAATACGTGAGCATTTGTAAAATCTACGTGACTCGTACAACATGGAATTCATATAAAACGGAAAAATCAACAGTGTTATAGGGGGGGGTCGACTGTATATTAGAAATCCTCCATTTAGATAAGACATGGAGGTTCTACAAATATTCTTACAGAAATCTAAAAAGAAAACAGTAGAATACGTCTGATGGGAAAGCATTCCCACTAGAAAACAGTAAAAAAAAAATAGATAAATTCAACGAACTCTAAATGGCTTACTTAAAATTCAAAGATATGAAGAGTCCATATACAAATTTATATGTAAAAGTTTTGTAGATGTTGACATTTAAAATTCAACAAATAAATAAATAAATAAAAAACAATTGGAACAACATATTTATTCTGAATTAAATTACGTTATAGATCCAATATGTATAATTTATAAATAAATTTAATTTAAATGCATTTAAAGTTTTAGAAAGTTTAACCAAAAAAAAAAATATATAAAGAAATAAAGTCTATGAGACATATAACTTTCTTTATTGTTTATACGTAGAAAACAATTTATAACGTTAAATTTACTTGATTTAAATCTAATTTGAACTGAAATAATTTAAAATTTTTGTCGTGTTTATATTAAAATTGCACATTTATTAGCTTATAACACCAAAAAAAGTGTGGAAAGGAGTGGAAATAAATAAGAAATTCGGTATTCTTTACGTGGAAAATATCTGCAGATTCTCTACACGTTTGACAATTTATACATGCAGACTGTAGGGTAATCTGGTGTGTAGGCACTCACTTTTGTACATAAATAAATATCAAATAAGTATAGGAGAAAGATTTGAATGTGGCAAACGTAGTTGTATACACATATATGTATTATCTATGAGTTTATTTTTCATTCATTAACAGCTGTAGTGACCACATTTACAGTGAATACAAGGGTGAATGTACACTTGTAAATTCTAATTGGGCTCCCCTCAATATATGTTCTAGTTACGCTACTGAATTAAAGGTTGTTTAATGCTGTTCAACTAGACATTACTTTTGTTCAATACACTGAAACGTTTACACTATTAAGCAGTTGAAAAAAAAAGCTGTTAGATAAGTAAATAACGAAGAAATTAATTAAAAATAAACATAAGTTTTTGAATGGAGAAAATAATTTTTAATTAAGAAATTCCTTTATATTAAATTAAACATACTTAGACGAGTCGGAAACTAATTAATTTAATTATATTTAATTGATAAATATGCTTAATTAAGAATTTGATAAAGAAAAGTAGAATATATTTTAGACATTACTGAGTCATTTTCAGGAATTTCTATCAGTCTTTTTGTATTAGAAACCGGAATAAAGCAGAAGAAAGTAGATAAAGATTTATAAAAATAAAGAAAACATGTAAGAGAAAGTAAAGATTGAAATGATAAAATTCAAAGTTTGTATATTAAGAAATGACATTAATAATAAAAAAATATATTTTAAGCTATAAAATAAAACGAAACCGGAAATAAAATCGTAATGCTTCAATATCATGTGAAAGATGAGTTAAGAAAAACGGTACTAAAAAACAAGTAGAGAAAACAAAGATAGATGCTGTTCTTCCAGAATAACAATGATCCTATCGGCAATTTCTAGAAAATCTGAAGAAAATAGAAGAAAAGATAATGACATGTATTTTTAGCTCCCTCAGAAAAAAAAATAGAACACCGAAATTGGAATTTAACAACTGCACATCGATCTCATCTTTACAACTCCATCTTATCTTGCAAGGCACGTTCTCTGATATTATCAATGGATAAGGAAGAAATTTCACTCGAATTTCACCATTTAAATATCTTATATCGATAAAATGTTCTTTTAAATAACAATATAATTGGTTAAAATTCAGAATATAATAAATTTATAAGCTGGTGTGATTGTTTAATGAAGTTAAACTGGATGTACATACGATCCCATTTTCTCTCCATTCCTTCGACCTTGAATCACCAAAATTTAACACCATTAAACCTTTTAATAATCAAAACTCCCTGCAAAATTTCAGACATTTTTGACGAAAATCACAGGAGTTATTGAACTTCAAAGTAAGCAAAATCGTGTCCCCCATACACACTAACATTCATTACCCCTGCATTTTTTTGCATTTCTCGACGTTTCAAGGTATCCTAGGTCGAAAAATGTAAATCTGCATGTCATTTTTGCCGAATCATCATACTTTCCCTCTGTTATAACATCCTGGAAACTAATAAAACGTGTAAATATTTATAAATGCTATTATATAATAGGCTAAATAACAGGGAGAAAGTGATTGCTCAAAAACTAACCCCACCCAAATATTTTCACATATTTTTATACTCAGATAACCTCCAGACGTTGAGAAATGCCAAAAAATTCGGGTTTTTATCCTGTATGTATGTATTCCTGTGAGGGCACGAGTTTGTTTACCCAGTTTAAAGCTTAATAACTCCTATGACTTTTCTCAAAAATCTCTGAAATTTTGCATGCAGGTTTGTGTGTTATGGGAATTAATACTATTAAATTTTGAAGGTTAAAGGTCAAAGAGATGATAAGATACAGAGGGGTCATATATCGTATCTCAAATGGGGTCTTACTTTACTCGTTATTAGCATACAATCTTGGCATTTAAGATGAAACTACTGCATATTTTAACCAGTTTTTTAAATATATTTATCAGCAAATATGTGTTTTTAATTTTAATTTATACATTTAAATAATTTATTATTAATAGAATATTAAAATTATTTGAATGCGTATTTTTTATATCTGTTAAATGAAAGAATACAATTTGTTTTGTTGTATGAAGGAACTATTACGTGTTAAATGAAAACACGTGTACTCGCCCTTCCTTCATTTCCTACTTAATAGGAAACTCATTTATAAATCGAGGTTAAGGACGAGAAAATTTGTTTTCCGGGGTGAAACTCTAATCGGAAATTGTTATTGCTTTGTTCTGTAGTCGATATAAAAGTTTCTAATATTATCCCTATACGTTAATATACATTTGCTAGAATATACGTTAATTGAAGTTGATTACAGGATGCAGTTTACATTTAAAATATCGTGATAAGTACTATTTTTCATGAAAAAAGCACCTTTTTTCCGTATAAAATACTTCTTGTTTTACTTTTCCTTGGTTTGGTTTGTTGGATATAATATGTCAAAACAACATATGAGCGATCTAACCAAGATCTGCAGGAGTTTATACAGGTAAATTGGCACCTGGAAAAACAATTATCCTTAATTAAAGCCCGAAAAGTCCTTTCTTAATATAAAAAGACCTTTCTTAACCAATTTTTCTCCCTATAATACAGATTTTTCTCTTCTTTATCTTACAGGAAAGGGATAAAATCAAACAAGACTTATTCATCCTGTTGTAGCTTACTTGTAAAATTTATATAATAAATTATATTAATCCTTTTATTGATAATTGCCAAGTAAAGTTTATCAAATGTAACCAATCCTTGATTAATTTTATATGTCTTAATTATTACTTGAGTTATTAATGAAGTCGAGAAGACCGTGATGAATAATAATTGATTAAAAATATCCTTAATTAGTAGAATTCGATTCGATGTTAAAGTCTTATAAATTTAATTAATGACTAATTAATTAATAAGTAATTATAATATTTGCAAATATAACTTCTTTAAAGTTTTCACCTGTTAATAATGCATTTCTTCTCTAATACAACGGTCGATCTAAATTAAAATAGTTTTTACATGGATAAGATGGAGTAAATATTGGATAATATGGCATAAGTGAGTAGACATAATGGCGAGTATACGTGGATAATATGGAATATATTACTAAGATAGACTTTATATGTGTTTCTCCATCAAAAATACATCAATAATAGACGAAAGTTTCTGCTAAACTTTGATTTTATTTCAAAGAAAACACCACTGTGTTACAATTGCTAACAGGAAAGGTACACTTGCAGGCTTTTTGTAAATACAAAATAGTAATTAATTAATCTTGTACCTCAATAATTACTACAATTCTCCGAGGAATGGATTCAATTAGTTTTTGGAATCAATCATTTCGTAAAACTGTACTTTAATAATAGTTACCTGCAGCGTGTGGATTGCTTAACTCAATTGTAAAATCGACAACTACATTTTGCTATCTTTTTAATGCCAAATACAAATTACTTAATTGATTATTCTTCCCATAATGGCATACACAATACCTATAATTGTATTATTTTATAAGAATAAATTAAACTTATTTTAAAATTTCGAAGAAGAATAAAGTAAATTTTAAAAAAAAATTTACACCAAAACTAAGATAAATTGTTATCTTTCCCAAATTTGAGATCTTCTCTGCTTGATAAACGAAGATCTGTCATATACTAAAAGCTGCTACTAAAATCTAAATCGTTCAATCTATATTTCAATATAATAAAATTCTTTCGTGTGAAATATATAAAATATATGCTACTTATCCTGTCTTTTATGTATAAATCTATATATATAAATGTACAGGGTTTCCCATAAGTCTTGAACCATACGATGATCTTAGTTTATCCTTCTAAGGTAAAGGACTTCACATATCTATGTGATCCCACCATCAATATAACATGAATTTATTTCTCCTTCCTCAGAACCACGCTTTTTGTGTAAAAATATGAACAAAAATCAACATAACTTCTATTGCTCTGGATATATGGGACACTCTATACATCTATTTTGTGGCAAATGTCATTAA